TTTGATTCCTGGGTTGGGAAGATCCCCTGGAGGAGGTCATGGCAACCCACTCCAGTATTCTTGCCTGGAGAATCCCATGGACAGAAGAACTTGGCGGGCTACAGTCCATGGGGTAGCAAAGAGTCAGACACGACTGAGCAACTAGGCACAGCACAGCACACATAGTGAGTGGAATAACTCCTTTGGAAAATGGCAAAAGTCAGAAAAGAAGTTCAGAACAGCGATTTAGCCTTCAGATCTTCTCCCGAAGCCCTGTGGAAATCCTGTGTGTTACCCGGAATCCGGGGCCTCTGGGGACCTTGTCGGTTTAGGGGCTTTCTCCTTTTCATTCTGGCTCCCAGGGCAGTGAGAAGCAGGAAGTACAGTCCCTGGGGTTAAAAGTACACTTTACACACAGCTTTGGAGCAATACACCTCCTCCACCCCTTTTTAGGAAAAAATGTTGGGACATAGAACTAAACAGCCCAACAGCCACATTCTCGGGATATTTGAAATGATGCTCATCTTTTAACAAAGGCTGCCGAGCATCCACAAAGCCTGCTTCTCCGCCTCATGGTGGCTCCATCATTGAGCTCTTAGAGGTGATGCCCTGCCAGGAAGGCTACAAGCACCTTCTTATATCCTCACAGTGCCGTTCCAGCACAACAGGGGAAAGATGCGAGATAGACTCACAATCTCCTGGATCTTTTTCTGTGCATTCCCCTCTGGATGGCAAGCGCCCTGCGTTCTGTATATACATACATCTCCTGAACCCAGCTATAAATAAACGCAAGCTGTCTTATTCAGACAATAACAGCACATAAGAAAAAAGACAATAATGACTAACAGGAAAAGAAAAACCTGTTCTTTGTCCCAAAAGATGGAAATCCTTTGTGTTTAGAATAAGTACCTTTAGCTTTTTCATGGAAAAAATGTAATTTTTTGTTTATTATCTATAGTTACCATTTCCTAAATCCTTTTAATTTAGAAAGACTACGCTTGACAGAGCTTTTGTAATTTTTCTTCCATAGTTAAGCAGGACTACTCACTGCTCCAAACGGGGTCTGTTCTATTATTAAAAGTCATTTCTTTTGGCATATTTTTAAACCTGTCTTAAAATGATAACCATGGGGCCTTGATAAATTAATTGCAAAGCTTCTCCTAAGGTGGCCTTGTTGGTTTCATTTAGACATTTATTTTAAGAGTATCTCTCAATAGAATTCATCAGTGAATTACTTTTATGTATTCCCAGCATTAAAGTATTTACCCACTAAGAATATTATAATTCCTTTCCTCATAGTGGTGGAAAAAAAGTGAAACTATCCTCAAACAATGTTAGGTTGGATCCTGACCCTTATGTCAGTAATTTTAGGAATGTCCCCACCAGAAGTTATAAATCATACATATAAGACCCGGAAGGGAGAGAAACATTAAAGAGTAAGGAAAAACAGCTATTAGAATTTCACATAAACACCGTTAACTGAAGAACAACAAATCAAGCACATAGGAAGTGGGGGTGGTATTGTTCAAACTAGAAGCTTGGGGGGGCGAAGGGGGTGGATAGGAGGGAGCATGATGGGAGCTGAAGGCCGGCTAAGCAAAGCACAGCAGGAAATGAAGTGTTCCGTCTCCGTTATTCCAGAGAAACTGGGCACTTTCTGAGGTAGGCATAGCCTTGGAGATTCTAGTTTGTCCCTTCATGGTTAAACAAGAAGTCAGCACTGATAACATCCTTGATAACACTTCCTCTGGAATGCACAACATTCCATGTTTCTGCTTCATAGTCACCCCCGGACAAGCATGAGTCAGACTGAGAGGTGGGGAATTTGCCAGGCTGCTCATGGGACCATTGAAGTTATAGTCAGGCCTGTGAGGTATGAACTTGCTATGCTTCTTTCTCTTTCAGCTCATCTTGTACTAAGAGCCATAGGTGATTTCTTTACCTCAAAACAGACTATCTTAAGTGTGAGGTTCAAGGCAAAGTTTGCTAGAACAGTAGATGGGACTGCAGGCTGGACACGTGAACCCTGTTTATCTGATCATGCTGTGGTAAAATACTAGTAGCTAATTAAGGGATTAATACAGTGCCTAATTATATTCATTATCTTCATTTATCTTTCATAATAAATGTGTGAAAGACCATTATCATCCCAGTTTTATAGATGAGGAGTCTGCAGTACATGTGGTTGCAAAGAGTCAGACACAACTGAGCAACTGAACAACAATAGATGAGGAAACGAAGAAGTGAAAAAAAAAGAGCTTGAATTTCTATAGCTCACAAAGGAGAGAACTGAGACTGAAACCCGGGTCTTACTCCAGAGTTCATGGTCTTAATGTGTCCCTTCCCACACAATGATAAAGGGAAGCTACTATTACTGTGTTTTGAAAGCAACCAAAAGAAAGTCTGCATAAGATATAATTAAATAGCAGTTCCTAAGAGAAGAGAGTTACTTGGGTCAGTTTTTTTCTCTTAAACATGCCTTTTCATATTATTTTGCAGCATATCCATGTCTAAAAGAGAGCTAAGTTGAATATATTGATAATTTGCTTAGACTAGTTCTTAATTGTCCATATATTGAATGGCTACTGCTGCTATGCTGTTCTCAGTCATGTCTGACTCTTTGCAACCCCATGGATTGTAACCTGCCAGGATCCTCTGTCCATAAGATTTTCCAGGCAAGAATACTGAAGTGGGTTGCCATTTCCTCCTTCAGGGGATCTTCCCAACTCAGGGATTGAACCTGATTCTCTTTCATCTCCTGCATTGGCAGGAAGATTCTTTACCACTGAGCCACCTTGGAAGCCCATATGTATTGAATAGGTCTAAGGTTTCTCAGTCTAGGTGTTAAAGAAGAGCCCACCCTACTGGTGGGTGATTCATCCTATGGGTCTATCCCCTCAGGGAACAATTTAAATTAAAAAGCACAAGAGAGATGTCCAGTCAAGTCCAAACTGTACCATGCCATAGTAGGATTGCACATGAAAACAGAATAAATAGTGCCATGATTAATGGTACCATGGTCAGTTTTTATCATACATTAAAAGTAGCAAATAAGTGAAAAATAAACAATATGGTACTTTGTAGGACAAAGATTTTGCTGCAGCTCTGGAGGTTAAGAAAAAGAGAAAAGTGAGATGATTAATAAATTAAGTTTTGAGTTGCACAAATCTAGATTTAAATCTACCTGCATGAGCTTGGTCAAGTTTTTTGACCTCTCTCAGTTCATTTTCTTGATCTGTAAAATGGGAATTTGGGGATTCAAGAATACACATAAAATTGTTAGCATGGTGCCCTGCTTGTTATTACTGTAATACAATTGTCTATTTGTCTGACAGTCTCCTCCAGTAGGCTGTGACCTCTTCAAAAACTGGATATTTTCCTGTTTATCTTCGCATCTTTGAGTCTTTGATACAGTGCTTAAGCTCATCCCCACTGCGAAGTTTCCTTCTCTATGAAGGATATTCCACATTACTTCTGGTTTCTGTCTGCCCTTGACATAGCTCCCACTAGGAAAAGAGAATGGTTTACCTGATGGTGAGTCACGAAGACCTTACCATCTATACTCTTCACATCCTGTCTCTTCTGCTCTTTCCCAACATAAATCTTACTGTCCAGTGGCTCTGTGACTGAATGTGCAAGAGACTTAACTCTGGGCTGCAGTAATATGAGGCCCATTTCCACACAGATATCGAGGGGTAAAGGAAGACCTAGCTGGAAATGTAGGTTAGAACCAGACAATGAAAAGATCTTGTTGTACCTTCATGGCATGACATTTTGGCAGATTCTTTCAGACATACATAAAATGATAAAGAATGAAAAGAAGATACAAGAGTAAGCCCAAAATAATACTTTTTTTCATTTTTGATGTTATGGGGTGGGAGTAGAGGGGTGGGGGAGGTTGTTATTTGCATTTTTGTTTTAATTTGTTGAGGGGCTAAAGATGAGATACCAATATTTTTAATTCTTTGTAGAATTCATTTGTCTTATTTTTAAGTTGTTTTATACTAGGGTACTCGGAGAAGGCAATGGCACCCCACTCCCATACTCTTGCCTGGGAAATCCCACGAATGGAGGAGCCTGATGGGCTGCAGTCCATGGCGTTGCTAAGAGTCGGACACGACTGAGCAACTTCACTTTCACTTTTCACTTTTCACTTTCATGCATTGGAGAAGGAAATGGCAACCCACTCCAGTATTCTTGCCTGAAGAATCCCAGGGACGGGGGAGCCTGGTGGGCTGCTGTCTAGGGGGTCACACAGAGTCGGACACGACTGAAGCGACTTAGCAGCAGCAGCAGCAGCAACATACTAGGGTACTAATAAACCCTTCTCTTGATTAATAGACTTGCTAAGTCGGTTTTTCTCCAAGTGTGGTCCAGGGACCATCTCCCTCAGAATTACCCAGAAGGACCTCAGAATACAAATTTCTGTTCCTCATCTCAAATCTGTCAAACCAGAATCCCTAGGGGTGGGACCTTGGAATATGATTTTAACATTCACCTCTCCCAGGGGATTTTTATGCTCATTTTATTTAGGACAGCACCTGCTAACAGACAAGTGAATTCAGTTTATTAATAAATGCACCTAGAAGAAGAAATTATGTTTGTGCGTGTATGTGTGCAGTTATTGCTAAATCAATTAATTGACCATTCTGATTGTTGCTATAGTCCTTTTCCCTATAGACCAGGCAGTCCTGCTAACTCAGCCAAGGATATCATCAAAACCCCAGTGCGGCCTTTTGTCTGTGTGTCTTTCTGATAGATCTATGAACAAAAACTAGAAAAAAATAATCATTTTAGAACCCTTAAAAACACTTTTAAAAGAACTCTTACAATTCTTCCAAAGAACCATAGTTACATCTGGTTTTCCTTTTCTGGTTTTAAGTGACAGGAGGTAATGGACAAACTTCAACACAGAGGAGAATGCTTAGGTGTAGGTCGTAAGTTTTTATCCTGCCACACTGCCCGCCTGTTGGCCGATGTGGGAGACACTCTGCTTAGGCCCGCTTTGTATCTTTCTATAGATCATGCAACAGATGAGTGATCATCGCTACGACAAACTCACGGTGCCTGATGACACGGCCGCAAACTGCCTGTACCTGAATATCCCCAGCAAAGGCCACGTCTTGCTGCACCGAACCCCAGAAGAGTACCCAGAAAGTGCAAAGGTAATAAAATGTCCTTCCTGCCACAGTAGCTGGGGAGACCTCCTCGAAGCCTTCCTGCCTAAGGATTTTTTTGACGATAGAGTGATAAATAACAGGGGCTTCCTTTCCCCCTATACACATCATTAGGAAAGCCAAAAGGATAACATAATTTAGGGCCAAAGGAAAGTTTATTTAGCTCGCTCTTCTCATTAGTGTCATTGGTCAGTAATGCATGCAGAGTAATTGAGATGATCATGCCTGGTATTCAGAGCCTTCAAATGAGTATTGGATCTCCCGAGTCTGTGCTCCAGCTCTGATTAAATGTACTTCCTGACACTCACATGCCCATCAAGCATAGAGAGCTACACAGGTCAACTGTGTTATTATTTCTGACAAATCTAAGCTACCCCTCATCAGAGGGTCATTTATTCCTTAAGGCAGAGAAGTAGGAATGACCCAAGAGAAGACTGCTCATTGTCAGGGCTGCAGAAAAGCAGGGGCTACCATCCTAGGCAGCAAAGTCTTGAAAGGAGAGAGCAGGAAGAAATATAAAATATTGCACACTCAGAACCAGCCCTACAAGTATCTCTTCATTTGTGTTCTAAACAGGGAATTGCCTCCTCAGTATGGAATTCTTTCCTGGTCTGAGAGAAAGACTGGTTTTCCCAGCCTTTCAGAGCACTCTGCCAGTCTTACCTGTATACTTTAGTAATTTCAATTTAATCACACCACACAGATCCAAGGGTGCTCATCCATAGATCCTTCAAGGGTTCATATCCGTTTTAGGCATTTCAGCATCATCTCTGCCCAAAGGAACAAGATATCTATACAAAGCATTACAGAAGAACCTTAATAGCCATTGATCTTTCTTTTTTATATGCATGTATCTTAGGTTTTTATAAACTGTTTATAAAACAGTTTTGCTACCTTTTAAAAATTCAGCACTATATAATTACTAGACTGATTCTCATAATCAGGATCTCCCTCAGCAGATTAAAAAGGGAGAAGGGGAGGAGCATAAACAGATTTTTTTTTCATGGCCAAAAGTGTGAATCTGAGGAAAATAGAGGAACTCTGACCCCCCCAGACTGTGTCTTAACCTGCTCTCAGATGAATACTGGATCTCATACCTTAATGTACATCAAAGTTGTTAAAAATACAGGTTCTGGGCTCCCACCCTGGAATCTGCAGTATCAGTAAGCACCCTGGTCACTGAACTTACTTGGGGAAACGGAGCTCTGGATTGTTCAAACCTACCTCTTCAGCCACATCAACCATGTGATAGTGGAATTATCATTAACTGCTTCTGAATTCAGCCCTGGGTCTATCACCAAAAACAGTAACACTATTCATGTTTATAGAGGGCTTTCTCTGTGCCAGGCACTGTGCCTGGCGTGCTGTATGCATTGTCTTATTCATCCATTACAGCAGCCCATGCAGGCACTAATATTATTCCAGTCTTACAGAGAAATAATCCCATGGGGATGCTAATTAACTGAAATCACACTTGAAACCATGAGTTGACAGAATTGGGGCTGGAGCGCAGCTCTAATTCCAGCACTCTTAATTAACCACGGTACCGAATTTTAAGGAAACACGTACACTCTACAGAAGCATGGTGGATTGGTTTTAGACAGTATATTTTCAAGTGATTTTTTTTTAAACTTTGATTTGATTTATCATCAGAGAAAAATCTGTTTACTGTTTATTTGAAGGCTTGACACATGCTTTCTTTCTATTCATGTCAAAAGATGCTCTAAAATTCACACCTATCATTTAAAAGCACTTTGACCTGAAACCCTTCACTTAAATCATATCTTGGAAAGTGTTTCTAGTGGCTTGTTAAGGAAAGAAACATTATAGTTGAGAGGGTTTTAAAGTGTGGAGAGAGAGTCATACTCAGACTGAAATCAAGGCCACAGCCTCATATATCACTTAATCCAGCACTGACAAGGGCAGAATAAAGGCCTTTCTAGTAACAACCACATTTCTGACACATCTTTGGCTTTGAGGTTAGAGCAGAGAGCTAGTGGTTAACCAGTGCTGCTCTCTTTATGGGTTTCGCTGTGGGCATGGGTGTGGTCTCAATGTCATGCATACCTTGGGGTTCCCTGTATGGAAAGCCTAAACTCACAAGCTAAATGAATTATCTGTCCCAGGCAGAGGGGGTGGGGGCGGGGGGCAGGGAAAACAGAGGCAGAAACTGAACCTTCTCTACTTTTCCTTGATTCCTCCTGCAGGTTTATGAAAAGCTGAAGGACCATATGCTGATCCCCGTGAGCAATTCTGAACTTGAAAAGGTGGACGGGCTGCTGACCTGCTCCTCGGTTTTCATTAACAAGAAAGTAGACTCCTGAGTCGCAGTCCCTCCCTTGCATCGGCAGTACTGCCCTCCTAAGGCGGTAACTATACCCACTCCTGTCGTTTTGGTTGACAATCTATGCCACTGCGCCACTAACCCTGGTTTACAATTCTAAGTTTCATACCTTCGTTCTGCACCTCCCCCACCCCCTCCCTCACAGTGGTACCTAAACTGTGGATTTGCTCAACGAGTTAAGCAATCTAGAAAATATAGAGCTAATGAACTATTGAAATGTGAATAATACTAGTAAGGAAACACTTGTTTTAGTGTTTGTATTATCTGTGTGAAAATCATTTAGTTGCCAATATATGCTGATCAGTCAGATAAACTGGGTTTTCTTTCTGTATGTCAATAATCATCTCTGGCTCCTGTGAAATTCCCTGGTCCAGGTATCCTCTCCTTTTCCCTCTTTTTTCTTCTTTTCCTACTTCTGTCACCGTCACCTTGACCTGGGGTAGAATCCAGGGTCTGGCCTTCTCCACACCTTCCTGCAAGTGGACTCTGTCTTTCACTAGTCTTCTCTGCCTCGCTGCTGCATCTTCTGCCATCACACCACTCACCCCCAAAAGGGTCCAAGAGGCACCTTAGCAGAACTACAACCAAAATCAGAGCAGCTGTTGAGGGGAGACTTAACTACACAGAGGCAATCCCCGATGGAGTTTGCCCCAGAGATCTAAATTCCAGAAGAAGTGGGGCACCACACCTAGGAAGGTGAATTCAGCATCAGATGGTTGCTAGGGGGCTGCAGATCAAGAAGCTTGGAAACAGTCCATGGGTACAACACTTCAGGAAGTCTTTAAGTCACATTCCACATTCCATGAATTTTTGCTTTATTACTGGCCATTTCCAGACCTTGAGGAATAGACTGAATTTTTTTCATTTAACTCACTTTCATTTCCCCCGGTTGTAACTCACCCTGTTTCCACCCTTCTACCCCTACACTTTTCCTGATCTACGGAGTTATTCCTTTCAAGAGAGACATTACATCTAAAAATGATTATGGATGGGCTAGTGCAAGCCAATTGGAGCATGTTCAGGAAGTGATAGACTTGGTGCTTGAAACCAACCACAGACAACAGACAGTTCTACTTTGAAATATCCATGAACATATACTGTGGAATTCAATTAAAATTTGTTTCCTGACTGGCCTTCCTGTTACACAAGCTTAAACTGATACAAATCTCTTAACAAAGAACAATGCTGCAGCAAAGGGAGAGATAGTTGTCTTTTACTTAAACCTGAAAGAATCAGCCTTTTAGCAACCCGGGGAAATGGTACTTTCCAAGGAATGGTGACTGATCCAGGCATGTTATCAAACTGCCCAATCATCTCCACCTTTCCTAGATTGCCTATGGCTTCTTAAGATTCAGTGAGTTTAAGAAATGCTACTTCAAGCCTTGCTCTGCTCACCTACAGGTTTGTAATCAGACATTCCTTACGTTTGGTGACCAAGAGAGAATACCTTCATTTATTCTATCTCCCCCTGAGCGAATGGAAGTGAGAAACCTCTGAGCCTACGAGACATCCTTAACCACTATTTTTTTTTACTTGATGATTTTATGTCAGACTTTGAAGAAATTCCTTCTCCTCCTTCTTTTTTCTTTATGCTTAACTTTAATATTCATATCATGTACAAATATCTAATTTCATGCATCCTATGACTAAAACATATCTTGATCACTGTCATATTTTCAACTGTCTCATCATGGGTGGACAATATGTTTTTACCACAGAGAGAATTAATGTCACCCACATGCTCAAGTTAATAAATAAAAATTGTCCTCAGCAGTTATAGCTGCCCTTTTGGGTTAAATCTGGCCCTATGCTGGCAAAAACAGAAATCCTCCCCAGGAGAGATCAACATCTCAAAAACAACCACGGGAAAATGAATGCAATGAGCCACTTCAGGCTTACTAGTAAAGCTAACTGGCTTATGATTCTCAATATCTCTATTTCTATCATTCCAAATTAAAGAACTGTTCTCTATTATGTTTAGTAAATTGAAAGTGGATCAATTTTTCTTTTGAACAGTTGGTTCTAACAGAGGGTTGTTTTCACTTTTCTTTTTCTTTATGTCTTTCCATCTTTCCTTCTCTTTGTCTCAAGAAATCACTTAGAATTTATGTGCCTCTTCTACAGAATCTTATTCTGCACTGTTCCGTCACCTACAAGACTGGCTTCTTTGGACCCTCTCTGTGATATGATGATGTGAAAACCTAAAATACTTGCAGAATACTAATATTCTTTCTTTGGTGTACTTATCGGCATAATATTATCTTTGAAGAGGAAATATAACCCACTAGCCCATTATATAGGTTCCTCTTTTGTCCCGTGTGATTTACAAGGATACACTAACAAAAACTGCTTTTTGACATTATAAGGACATTAGAAATTGTATGTAAGTAAATAACAGTTGAGTCAGAATCTCGTGATCAATAAGATTCAACTTACTAAGGACAATATAGAGAAAGTACATGATGCGGCATTATTTCTCAACTGTGACAGATTGCTATAGAAATCAGCAGGCAGATCTCTCTCCTGTGTATTGATTGCTCTTTCAAGCTACTGTGAACAGATTCCTAAGGCTATCTCTTCATCCTGAAGGGGGGAAATAGTCTGCAGATGAACAATGTGACCTATTTAGAGTTGCATGTTAATCTTTGTAATTATTTACTCCTTAACATCCTACAGAACTCAGAAATGATTTCCACATGGTGTTAGATTTATTGTGCATTTTATCTTACTGACCATCCTGTTGCAGGCCACGTATGATTATCCACTCTGTGTGCCAAAACCAGTAATGCCTTTCACGGCCCTTTAGTCCAGAGAAGTTCTGCACTGATTTTAGTCTCTTGCTGTCCTGATCCTACAAGTATACCAATCACGATGGAATAAAGTGTGAATTGTACTGTGCTTGACAGCCTGTGTCTCTTTTTTGCAACAGAAACTTCTATGGTGAATGAAATCACCATTTCCTTGCTATCAGAGATGGGAAGGTTTTGTTTTGTTTTTTTCCTATAAGATATGGGATTAGACATACTATATCTGTAAATCAGCTGCCATCCAAAGCTTGGATTAAAATGATAATTGAGGGATACTTCATCCTTCTGGTGCTTAAAAAGTATGCATATTATCCATGCCTGGTCAGGAGACCTTGTTTCACATGTGTTCCTCCTCGAAACAGCTTCCCTGGTTTCTTTTACTCCTAACTGTCGTCAGCACATTATAATATGGCTCAGTTATGGAGACAGTTGAACAGTTTTTTCCCTATGCTTATATAAGAGCTTGGTTTTTTGTTTTGTTTATTTTACAGTAAGCATTTTTTTTAAGGAAATTTGAAGGATTTTTAATGAGGCTTTTTATTTCCAACAATTTTTTGCAAACTGAAAGTAGCTTCATTGTTCTCTTTTTTGATTGTAAAGATAATAACTGCTCATCGCAAAAATAAAAATCACACCATCCCCCCCAAAAAACATAAAACATAGGAAAAAATACCCCAAATTTTATCATCTACAGATAGCTACTATTAACATTTTGGAAAAGGACTTCCCTAGTGGTCCAGGGACTAAGACTCAAGTTCCAAATGCAGGGTGCTCAGGTTCAAACCCTGGTCAGGGAACTAGAGCCCATGTGATCTAACTAAGAGCCTGCATGCCACAATGAAGATCCTGCATGCTGCAGCTAAGAACTGGCACAGCCAAATACATAAATATTTTTTAAAAATTTTTGGAGAATATCCTCACAGATACGGATATAAATATGGGATAATTTTACATAATTACACTGTTTCATAACCTGCTTCCTTCACTTGGCAATATATTGTGGCCATCTCTCCGTGTCAATAAATATAGATCTATATCAGCAATTTTAACAGCCCTGAATATTTCATGATATGGTTGTACAGCAGCTCTTTCTAATTTATATGGAATGTTATATAACAGATGTTCATCATGCCCACATTCCTAGTAGCTGGGGTCTTCAGGCTATCAAAAATGTTCTGCGTATAAGCTTTCACACACACGCAGGGTGAGCTCAAATCTGTAGTCCTCTTACCGTAACTGAAGGGTGAATGCAAAAGCCCACCGGAAGCACAGACCAATACTAAAATCCCTTGGAGAGTTCATTGATTTAGTCACATCTCTCAGTTGATGACGCATTGGTTAGTTCTTCATTATTTAGGTGAGTATTAATATGGGTGATGAAGCTAAAAACTGCCAACTGCCACCCCCTGAAAAACTGCTCTGGGCCCCCACAGGAAATGGAACCCTCCACCCAAGTGCCAGGGTTCTGGGCTACTCTCAGAGGAGAAAGGAAGACAGTTTTTTATTATTATTTTCTTTTAATTTGGGGCTGTACTGTGCAGTACACAGGATCTTAGTCCCCCAACCAAGGGTCAAACCCATGCCCCCCGCATTGAAAGCTCAGAGACCTAACCACTGGACCACCAGGGAAGTCCCAGGGAGGCACTTTTTAAGGCAAGAATTAGCAGAGCTTCCCTGACTGGTCTTCCTCCCAGCCTTCCAGAAGAATGAAGATAAAAATCCCCTCTCATGACAAGCTTCAGATTCTGAAAATGAAAATTTGCTGGATGAAGAATTCTGATCAACAATCATTTTAGACACATGAGCCAAAAAAGAAGAGGGTGGCAGAGGATGAGACAGTTGGATGACATCACCGATTCAAAGGACATGTTCATAGGAAAACTCTGGGAGAGAGTGAGGGACAGGGTGGCCTGGCATGCTGCAGTCCATGGGGTGGCAAAGAGTCACACACAACTTAGTGAATGGACAACAACAACAGCAAACACGTGAGCACTTGTTAAGCAAGTGCCCACACTCTGCCAACCCACTCCAGTATTCCTGCCTGGAGAATCCTATGGACAGAGGAGCCTGGTGGGCTACAGTCCGTGAGGTCGCAGAGTTGGACATGACTAAGCGACTGAACACGCATGCACACACACTATGCCAGGCTCCTGGGTGCAGCTTCTGTCTTTCA